AATACGTACACCAGCAACCATTATTCCAGCCATCTTACTACGGCGGCAACCTCTCTCAGTTCTCAACCCCTTACGACCAATATGCACAGAACCCAAGTTTCCGTCCTCAGATGCAAGTTCCGGCATACAGTTTCCAAGTGAATTTCCCCAACCTTTCAGTTCCGGTGAGACCTAGCAGGGACCAGGATCCTGGCAAAGGTGTTCGTAGCGTGCTTCTTGAGGAATTTCGAAGCAACGCTAAGTCTAACAAGCGCTACGAACTGAAGGTACGTTGCAGTATATCTAAATGATAGCAGATACTGGAATTAACCAAGGCGTAGGATATATACCACCACATTGTCGAGTTCAGCGGCGACCAGCATGGCTCGCGGTTCATACAGGAAAAACTTCAGACCGCAAACAGCGATGAGAAAGATCAAGTTTTCCGAGAAATCGAACCTAATACACTTCAACTCATGAAGGACGTCTTCGGCAACTACGTCATACAGAAGTTCTTCGAGCACGGAAACCAAGTCCAGAAGAAGATAATTGCAGCACAGATGAAAGGGAAGGTCGCAGAGCTTTCAACTCAGATGTATGCGTGCCGTGTTGTACAGAAGGTAAGTCTAAGGCGAGCAACATTACATAAGGATCAAGCCGCTAACTAGCTATCAGGCGCTCGAACACGTGCTTGTCGAGCAGCAGCACGAGATCGTGGAAGAGCTTAAACCCAACATCATGCAGATCGTCAAAGACCAGAATGGGAATCATGTGATCCAAAAGATCATCCAGATGGTACCGCAGCAATGCATTCCTTTCATTATGGATGCTTTCCAAAATCAAATTGAATCCTTAGCATCCCATAACTACGGCTGCAGAGTCATTCAGCGAATCCTTGAATATGGGACCGAAGCGGAGAAGAAAAGTCTCATGACAGATCTCCATGCTTGCGCGGCCAAGCTTATAACGGACCAGTACGGAAATTATGTTACCCAACATATCATTGCCCAGGGCGAACCGGAAGATCGGCGCAAGATAATTCAACTAGTGCTTCAAAGGTTGATAATATTCTCGAAGCATAAATTCGCATCGAATGTGGTTGAGAAGTCGATCGAGTACGGGACGACGGAGGATCGGAGGGCAATCAGGTGCCAAATTACGGCTTTGCATAGTGATGGTTCCAGTCCGCTCCAGCTCATGATGAAGGACCAATTTGGAAACTACGTGATCCGTAAGTTCGAAGTCGTACTCTGCTCAGTGGCACATCATAACTAACCGATAGACAGAGAAACTCCTGCAGCACCTAGAGGGACCGGATCGCGAGTCGTTTATAGAGGAGATGAGGCCTCACTTTGCGAACTTGAAGAAGTTCAGCAGCGGGCGACAAATGACAGCTCTCGATAGACTGATGTCCGCAAGCTCGGCCGGTACCAGCCCCACTACGCCGAATCTATTAGTCGACGTTAATTCAGCCGCGCCTACTCCGTCGCTCACCATGGAGCAGAATAGCCCGCAGAGTAGCAGCCCGCCCAGCACCAATGCGAGCGTAGAGGAGTCTATGGATGAGAAGAATAGCAAGGCCTCGCCCCTCAAACAAGCTTGCCAGCCAGTTGAGGTTAACGAACCGTAAGGCACTGGAAGCGTTTTCGCCACGTGCCAGCAGAATGTTATAACCTTTGGCCTCTTCTAACAAGTTTATCCAGTCATCTTGTAGGTTTACGCATGAAAATATTGCCTACAAACCCCCTTTACTGTCATTTCTTTTTCTTCAGCAGGTCGGGGTCGGCACTGCAAATAGCGCGAGATGGGAAAATCTCGGGTCGGTTGACACGACACTCTACGACATACAACATAGTCAAATAGCACATAATATCCGGTTTTAATGGTCTCCTTCCGCATCAACGGATTCCCTTCTTACATGTCTTTTTTTTCGCAAATTGGTTTATTGGTGCCCGCGGTTGGCTTGGGGGACGACCATCAGCTCCCTTTTATGCGGGTTTAGGCGTACGGTGTCTAGGGGTGAAGGTTGGGAAATGTGGGCAAATCATAAGGCATTTATTTTGGCGCGAGGTCTCGGAAAGAAATAAAGAGTGGCGAGCCGCCTTGGGGGAACAGACCGACGGCCAGACGAGCACACAAAAAGCGAGAAGTCACAAAGCAGCGTTTGTATTTTTCTATCTACCCGACGGCATGTGTTTCTTCCCTGCCGGTGTTGAAAGGTAGAAGCGCCTAGATATGACACATAGAATCGAATGCCTTACTCAATAGGTTAAAAGTTGGGATAGCTATCCTGTTAGTTCTGGTGAAGTGGTTATGACTTGAGAAAAGGTAGTGGCTTTTGGGTAATAAATTGAAGAGTCTGGCTGTGCCGCCGATAGCCAGACGCCAAGACGATAGGGCAAGATAGGGCTGGTACTATTATTTCTATCTATTAACGTTGCGCTTTAGGTTAGGGGAAAGCCGTATAAGGATCGGAAGGATCTAGGTGAAACAGAGGGCGTCGGGCCACAAACGTCACTACTTCGTACCTGTTATCGATGGAGAAATGATGTGCTCTCGGTTTGTTGGCTGGGTAGCCTGCCGCGATATATATTGAGGAGGCGTCGTATTGGGGGCTTTGTGCTACTTACATAGTATTACATAGCGCAACGGTATGTACAATAGAGGGATAGAGAAATGTATGTCTAAGCCCGAGGTAACCCATCTATTATACACTATACATCTAGGTAGGTAGTTAATTACCTACTTTAAAGTATAAGCGCTTTTTTCAGCCCTACGTTGGAGATTGATTCACTACCTAGGTACATGGGGTTAGTAAAACATGTATTAGACTTGGCTAGATTTACAATACGTTAGGGAGGTAAAGTACGTATGTACATATGTATCTTGGTTGACGCCAGGCATACATATGCTATGCATGTACACCCCGAGACCTGGAAATAGAATCGGGAGGGTTTACCTTAGCGTAGGTAGGGGCTAAGTTAGTTCATACCCACACGTACAGTATGTACCCATGGAGTAGATACCTAGGTAGGTAGAGTATATGTACACTAGGTACGTACAATACATGCATGTAACCCTACCGAGCCCCCGTCTCGGAACCTTCCCCTAATTCCTCCTCTTCCGGCTTCCGATAGACAGCCCTACGCGGTACTATGAATGTATATGCATGCGGTTATGGTTATGCTAAGCAAACGTGTTTGGTATCTTGTCTAGTTCGTTGGTTGGTTGGTTGGTTGGTTACATTGAAATTCTAGGCGGGTCGGTAGAACGCCTATAAACTACAGAATAATATGTATTATATAATGTTATATTCGTATTATAGACTTTACGATGATGGGGGGATTAAGGGGAATATATGTATATACATGGAAGCGAATAGTCAGTGGCTAGCTTGATACGTACTCATTCTTCGATCCCCAGGAAAACAAGCGCCGGACAAGCAATCGGCCTGGCTAGGCATAATACTCGTGGCGAATGGCGCTGATGGAGAAAGAACATTACTAACTTGTTCTAGTCAGATATCTCGAATTGCGTTTGACTGATACTAGGACTGTTTAGGCATCTAAAGTCTAGACTTTCCTCCAACGGGCCTCGTCATCGCGCTACTTATGTACATTAACATACCAGCCTACTGGGTTAAGTCGTGGAAGAGTCATCGCTGCCTGGCATAACTACTGCATATTGCACCACTTGATATGTGAGATATCACGGCGCACGACGGGACGTTGGTGAGCGATGCAGCGAGGTGATATACATCGGACGCGGTGCTGCCTTCGATGTCTATATGTTACCTGTATGTTATGTCGTGCTACCACTTCCGAGGTCGTGTAACAACATAGTCATAGCCATGGTTGTAGTCCTAGTCAGCATATCTGCCTAGGGTGTAGGGTATGTATGTATTACAACTATTAAGGTAATGTGTCTATATTTAGTTCTTCAGCACTTATTATATGTTACCTATTGCTGCCTTCGGGGATAAACCCCTTCCCGAACGTACCGAGCCACTGTAGTGTTGCATTCGGCGGGCGACGGGTGTAGAGTCGGGTATAAGATGAGGGTATACGCAGGCAGTAATGCTAGGTACTGATATTAAAGACGATGAGATAAAATGAGATACGGAGATCTCAAGGTTGGCAGAAAATATTCAATAGACGGTAAAGATTAAATAAAGCTGATAACAGCTGCAAGTTGATATATAACTATCTAACTAACCTAAGGTATACTTCAACTAGATCATAAGCTATAAGTCAAGCGCTATCTGCTTTTATTATACACATAGACTTTGAGACTTCAACTCTATAGTTAACCCTTTGTTTTTTTATTAATCATAAATCCTTATGCGCCTTCTAGGTAGTGGCTAGGAAAACTAAAAGGTCAAGCCTCCCGAGTAGCCATCGGATTGCCTTATACCGCGAATGGCCTTGTTAAAAGTCATGATAATGTTCAACCCTATAACTTGATACCTATATTGCTATCTAAAATCGAGTCTTTTATGCTCATTTTGCCTTCAAAGTCTAGGTATCTAGTTAGTAACCGGTTCTTAGCCGCTACTGCTACGACGACGACGATTTGTTAATAGTTATACCTATACGAATGCCCATGTCTATGTACCTTAGAGACCCTAATCCTCGAGATAGTTCTAATCTTGTTTTAAAAAGCTCCCGAGTCGGGCAGACGGGAAGTATGGTTGAAAAGAATAACAGAGTTCCCGATCTCTCCCCCTATGGTCGTTTTGATGGGATAAAACTGGCTGTTAGATGGTCAACCTAGTTGCTCCTCTCTTAGATTTCGGCTCTTAACTTCAAGGCGCGATCCAGGCTGACAATTTCCAAACAGCAATAGTTGAACCGTAGAAGATGAAGTTGTAGATAAATGTCCCTTGTCCGAGAAGTAAGAAAGAAGTGGGCTTCCGTTGTATGTAGCCAATCATACGATAGCTACCCCGGACTCGGATGGTCTTCAAGAGCGAGCGGTCCACACGGAGCCCAGACCGACGACAGAGTAGTGGCACTTCCTATTCGGGATTCGGACTCGTCGTCAAACCGCTCTGGGGAATTCTGATGGTCCTTTCGAAACTACGAACAACTGGCAGGCCACACCGCCGCACGCAGAGTGTGCCGAAGCGATGTATCTTCCGTCGCTAATTAACGAGGAATGATACATGCGATCCGCTTCGAGCATGACTCCTGAGCGTGGGTATGGCGAGCTCGGGGTGGGTGTGATGCGGTGATGCGTCTGGCCTCGTTTGCTACCGAGGTCGACGTGTGTAAGGCAACAGAATAGGGATGTAGGTATATCCATATAAACATGAATAGGAGTAGAAAGCATATATAAATCCCAGACTGCTGCTATTCTCTCCCATCACCATCACCACCACCATCATCTCCTCTCGACTCATTCTCAGAAGCACCTAGACACATAACTCAACAAATAGGGGCATATCATACAAGTCCCATCCTACCGCAATACCTACCACCAACCCAAAACACCACACCACACCACACCCCCAGCCAAAATGGTCAAAGTCCTCGTCCTCGCCGCAACAGGCAAACAAGGCGGCGCCACCGCCCGCGCGCTCCTCGCCTCCAAAAGCCACCAACACTCCGTGCGCGCCCTAGTCCGCGACGCCTCCTCCCCCAAGGCCCAAGCCCTCGCCGCCCTGGGCGCCGAAGTCGTCGTCGGCGGCGACTGGGCGACGGACGTAGCGGCGCTGGACGCGGCGTTCGCGGGGGGCGTCGAGGCGGTCTTCTTCCCGTCGATCCCGTCGTTTACGGACGTCGAGGTCGAGCTTAAGGGCGCGACTAACGTCGTCGAGGCGGCGAGGCGCGCGGGTACCGTGCGCCATGTGCTGTATAGTAGCGTGGGCGGCTTGGATAGGTACCGGACGCTTAAGGGCTGGGATCGCACGCCTTTCTTTGCGAATTATTGGATCGCTAAGGGTATGCTATGCGTATACCTCCTTTTTCATTTTTTATTTTATTTTATTTTATTTTTTATTACTTCCTGCGTTGATGGGATGGATGGACGATGCTAATGTGAATATAACGCATGTAGAAAAGACCGAAGACCTCGTTAGGAACGGCGGCTTCGAGCACTATACCATTCTGCGCCCGACTGAGTTCATGTCCAACTACACCGGCGAACTAGCGCACTTCCAGGTCCCCGATCGTAAGCCATCTCATCTCATATATCCCTCTAACAACAGCGTATACTAACATCCCCCCCAGTAATCAAAGAAGGCGTCCTCCACACCGCCCTCCCCGCCTCCTACACCCTCAGCGAGATCGACGTCGACGACATCGGGCGCGTGGCCGCCGCATCCATCGCCTCGCCCGGGACCTTCGCCTCCGGCCGGCGGGAGCTGCACCTGACGGGCGAGGTACTCACGCTGGGCTCGATCGTGGCGCAGCTCGGCGCCGCGCTGGGCAAGAAGCTGCGCGTGAGCACGTGGACGCGGGAGGAGGCCCTCGAGGCCCTCAAGACGAGGGAGATCGTCGCGGGCCAGCTCATGAGGCTGGACTCCGACTGGCCGAACCCGCCGGCGGACGATTTCGGCCTCGGGTTCAAGACGTTTAGGCAGCATTTGGAGGAGCATAGGGACGAGATTAAGGAGCTGTATAAGGCGGTGCCTTAGGTTGGTTGGTTGGTTGGTTGGTTGGTTGCTGATGTGGTGTTGGTAAGATGTGAGGGGACAGAGATTGTTGATTGTTTAAGGGGTAAGGGAGTAAGGACCCCGACTATAATAGTGCTATAGATTGGACATTTGATAACTACTATTATTATATTTAGTTTCTTTTCGGTGTTAGAATGAATATATTGGGTCAAGTAGCTGAATTCCTTTCTCTTTCCTTCAGCGATATCATGTACCTAGGGCATTTACGAGAATACACATATTCCCTAGTATTCATAAAGGTATCTCTCCGACTGATAGGAGTGATCGGGATGATACATAGTGCTTTGTTTGAACTAAACTCTAGGCAATAAAATATACACGAGCTATAACATCTCCAACCCCGCAAGACACGGCGCAATACTAAAGAGTAGTACAAGATTTCATACCCGTCAATCATACCTAGCTATCCTAATGCATCCTACTTTTCATACACACCATCTACCACATCTAAGAAATCAACCAACGCCAGTGGGTATACACAACGCCCTCTATGAGCATGTATTGTCACATCACCAACCCCCCTTCCCTTTACGTCTCCCCTTACTTCCCCCCCTTCCCGGCCGCAGGCGCAAAGAATACAACCTGAACGGTAATATCGTCCCTAATATCCCTCGAGTTCGGATACCTAAACGTCAGCGCGCCTTGGACCATTTTCTCGTCGCCGCCTCCTAACCCATTGCGTATGAGATGCACAGCCGCGTTGTTATCCTGTAGCGTAAGCTTTTGCTCTTCGAATCGGCACTGCTGCTTGCGTCCAAGAACTACCTCGCCAAAATCGTCCGACTTCGGTTTCACTGGCTTTCCTTGTCCCCGGGCTTGCCATTCGACCCATTTCCCTACCAAGTCGACAGCCTGTTCGCTCGTCATCGCGTCCCATAGGCCATCTGTCGCTAATATTAGAAACGAGGGACCGGATTCCGGGATCTTGGTCGTAGTGACCAGCGGCTCGGCAGTCAGGTACGGCCCTTCTTTGTAAGCGCCGTATCGTACAGCAGACGGCAAGCTTAGCCCGTTGTAGTAATTACGAAGGGTCTCCTTCAGTGCAGCGGGCCACTTCCACATGCCGTCGCCGAAAGTCCGGGACGGCTGCATGCCCCAGATGCGGCCACTTTTGACGATCTCGGGCTCATCCGGGAACTGCGCCTGGATACGGGCGATTTCGCTTGGGGTAGCACCTGTGCAGTCCGTCGTAAGTTCCATAGTAGCCCACTTGCCGTCCGCGGTCTTCTGACCGAGTACCGCTCGGCAGTCTCCCGTAGACGCTACCGTGAGTTTTCTGCTCTGCGGGTCGAGGAGAGCCAGGAGGGCGCATGAGCCTGCGTAAGCAGCCTCTAGCCTTCTCACCTTCTCCGCAAAGGGAAGATCGCTCTCGATAGTTGCTGCGGCGGATTTGACTAGGGTGTCATCAAGAGTTCTGAAAGCCGACTTTATGGCTTCTTGGATATCCTCGTCGCTGAGCTGGTTTCCGTCCTTGGGCTTGGCATTGCCGAGAGCGTTCCGGACGTAGGGGATCAGCTGCTTGGTTAGGAGATTTGATAACTGCCAGCCGCAATGCCCGTCGAAAACGCCCCAGGCGAACCAGTTCTCGCTGTTTTTATCGAGGGGATTAGAGAAGCTGCCGTGTATAAAGGCATCTTCGCAGGGGCTATTAGAAGCCAACTGAGCACCGTCGTATCTCCTCACCGGCTTCCCTCCCCCGGGCACGGAGAAAGCATACTCGTTCAACTGGCGCGTGACATCCTCCGAAGTGGGAATAGGGCTATAAGCAATCTGGTCGGATAAACCCAGCTTATTTAGGTCTGGAATACCATTGCCCTTGTCGTTTGAAGCACTAGATACTTCCGTGGGCCTTGGGGTTTGGGTCTGGCTGCTACGAGATGTAAACCAATACGCAGCTGTAGCCGATGCTAGTCCTGCAGCGAAGGAAACAGCCACAGTACCGGTCGAGAAGGGTTTGGCCTGTGTACCAGTGCTTGCAAAGCGTACCAGGGGTCTCGGTGTGAGGTGAGACAGGCGTGTTATCGAAGTAAGGCGTGGCCGTTGACGAAGTAGCTGGGGAGAGAACATGTTTGTAGACAATGCATGTAAGAATAGGATACCTTTCTACCTTGAATTCTACTATCTCAAACTAGATCTTGAGTTGTTTTGTAGAAGAAAATAGTTTATTGGTGAAGCTGCCTTGAATATCGGTGAGCCAATGCATGTATTGTGCGTCTTCGATATGATTTATTATCCGATGTAATTCCCTACACAGGTAGGTATGTCCTTTATAAGTTATAATATGTCAGCTTACCAATCTAGAATCTAATAAATTGAAAATTTAATTTTGATTCTAAAACATCTCAGAGTGAACTATCATTAGTTATATGAATTGAAGAATACAACAAACACGCCGTCTGCTAAGGTCAGAATATCTAACCTCGATTACTACCTATATAAGACCCTTAATGTAACAATAAGGAGGATGACGACTATTAGACAAACAAAAAGGAAATCTTAATGGAAACGTACCTTAGTCACCCAAGCAGCCAAGATCCAAGATGGTAACGCTCTAACCGACAGTACCGAGTGTGGCACGGAGCCTGGAGCAAAATCATGGGGAAGCTGGGAAGCTGGGAAGTTGAGACGCGGGATGGTCACTTAACAAACAACCGAGGTACCCACTTAATATAGTTGGACAATGGCGGGGACCTTAGCTGCTTAACCTAGGTACCATGTAGCCATGTATGTACAATACTAAGCTGCTTAGGACAAGGAAAGCACCCGCTCTCACCTATCAAAAAGGAAGCCTCCGCCGTCTTAGCATTTATAAATAGAAAGGAATTCCAATTCCCTAGATTGATATAGATAGACTTTGACATTTTGTATAGTTAATTGGTATATATGTATATACATTGGTAGATTAATAACAGCGTAAGAGACGGGAGAAGATACAGCTACAGCTACAAGCAATGGCCGACGTAATCAAACTCCAATACGCCGGCCGCATCGCCACCATCACCATCGACAACGACAAGAAGCTCAACGCCCTCGGCTTGCAAGGCTACTACGCAATATCCAAGGCCTTGCGCGAGATCGCCGCCCGCGACGACATATACATCACCGTACTAACAGGCAAAGGCCGGTACTTCTCCGCGTAAGTCCACCCAGTACCTATACCTATCCTATATAAGGGTACCTGCATATATACACACAATCACCTAACTCACCACCACCCAGCGGCGCGGACGTCTCCATCGGCGCCAAAAAGCCCGACGCCGACTCGGACCCCTCCGAGGCCGACGTCTACATGCGCTGGCTGCGGGACTTCGCAGCCAACAACCTGAACCTAACACGGGCGCTGTACACGCACCCCAAGATCCTAATCGCCGCCCTTAACGGGCCAGCCGTCGGGCTCTCGGCGGCCATGACCGCGCACGCCGACTTCGTGTACTGCGCGCCGCACACCTTTCTACTGATGCCCTTCTCGTCCCTGGGTCTCGTCGCCGAAGGAGGCGCTTCGCATGCCGTGGTGCGGCGGTTAGGGATAAGCAAAGCCAACGAGGCGCTTATCCAATCCAAAAGAATCTCGTGCGAGGACCTCGTGCGCACCGGGTTTGTAAACAAGGTGTTTGATTGTGCGAAGGGGGACAGCGATGGTTTTTTGAAGCAGGTTATGAAGGAGATCGATGATACGATGGGCCATCATTTGAATAGCGATAGTCTGCTGGGTATCAAGGCCTTGATACAGAAGCCGCATATAGATACCCTAGAGAAGCAGAATGTGGCCGAGGTTTTCGCCGGCCTGGACAGGTTCGTCAGTGGAGTTCCGCAGCAGGAGTTTGAGAAAATCGCGTCGGGAAAGAAGAGGCATAAGTTATGAATATTGGAGACGAATTTTGGGTGTATTGGATGTTTGCTTTTCTTTCTTTTTTTTTTTTTTTTTTTTTTTTTTTTTTTTTTTTTTTTTTTTAAAAATTTATAATTTTTTTTTTTTTTTTAATGGGGACCTCCGGAAAAAAAAAGGTTGACGTGGTAAAAATATTTTGTAGGGGTTTTAGATGGATGTAATATAAC